GCGAATCCCGTTCCACGCTCCACCTCTTCCGGAAACCCAGCTGTCCACTCAAATCTGACACACCCCCTTGAGGACAGCCAGAGCATCCTGACCAAAACGTCAGGTTAACACTCACTGGTTCTTCTAAGAGCTACACCTCTCCCAAAAAGAGATTGATTTTATGGTGTACCCTCAAGCTTAAAATACCATACAAGTCGACCACAAAATAGGAAGAGATCTAAAATGCCACAAACTTCAGTATATCCATGGTTGGCTCGTAGGGGTAGAAAGAATAATAAGCTGTCTCCCATTTCTGTGGCTTATTTTGCAGAGTATTTCCAAGTTTTCTGTCACAGCTGATGAACATAACACTTTCTTCTTCCCAGGCACCTTGCCAGACAAAAAGTGATCTTTTGTTGCAGTACAACATACACAGAGAAATCAGCCAGCATCACGATGTCACGAGCAAGATTTGAACGTGAAGAGTACATTAATAATCGCCTTACGAAGTTGAAGTAAGACAACTTGAAATTTTTTATTTGCTGCAGACGAATATGTTTTCGTAGGTTGGTACAAAAGTTGCCCATTCCAACAGTACACCCTTATCAATCCAATTATCCAAGAACTCATTTACCTTGTTAGTGCGATTCTGTTTCTAAAGATTTGTGTGTCTACCCGTAGAGGAAGGACACAGAAGGAGTTTGAACTGCCAGGGCTGTAACATCTGGCAAATTACAGCTTTTTGGTATGCCCGGTATGTCCTTAGCCAGAGTGCAGTGAGCGCGTGCTACGCACCATCTGTTTCACAACCACAAAACCCCTTTGTACCCTATGATCGCCGCCACAATTTTTCGCTGGTAATCTGCATCCTTGAGACTTTGACCGCTTTCTTCTGGAGTTATTTTGGGAGTAAATAGCTTCGTTGTTTACAATACATTTGTATGTTGTGCTTTGAATAATTTGTATTATGGCGTTTGCACAAAAGTGTATTTTTATGAGATTTCATGATCACTCCCTGTGATGAAATAACGCATTTTGTTCCTTATGAACTTAACTTTCCAGTATTAGTCAAAATTTGTCCGCCAGTCTTAGTCAAGTTTGTACCAAGTCTTTGAAAACTGATGTATTGGAGGGAGGAGAATAAAATTACAAACTTTCCATCGATAATGGAACAGTGTATCAACATTGGAAAAGCTTATTCATGATGGCAAAAGTAGATCTAATATCAGGGATTTTTCTCTCTGTATTTCCTGGTCAAAGAAACAATTTGTATTTAATTGCAAGCAAAACACTACAAGTATTGCTGGGAATACTGGCCCCGCTTGTCGGTCTAATCTGCAGGCAGTAATGGGGCATTTTTGGAATGTTTTCTATTATTCGTCTCACTCGGCGGTGACAGTCATTGAACACTTTGAAGTGTCAGAGTTGCAACTCCTTCTGTGTCCTTCCTCTATGGTCTGCCCTTCATTTCTGGCCATCGTGGTTTGGATGTGTGTGCCTGGAGACCACTTAAGGCCTTCACAAGACCAGCACAAGACCTCCAGTCTGACTTCAAGTCACAAGCTATTCCAATGAACTGCAACAAAAGCATTCCTTTGTCATTGTTCACTCAGTTACCTGTAACTGGCCTTGTGCATGGTCTTGGGCATGGTCTTGTGCATGGTCTTGTATCTGGTCTTGTGACTGGTCTTGTGTATGGTCTTGTATCTGGTCTTGTGACTGGTCTTGTGTATGGTCTTGTATCTGGTCTTGTGATGGTCTTGACTGCAACAATGTGTGTGCGTCTTTAAGTACTTAGCACAGGAGAAGTTTCACTCCAAAATAGGGCCAATGATCATACATGTAACAGTCAAATACCCCTTTTATGAAGCGGGTCGTGATCCTTGTAGAGGCTACGCATATATACCATTCTCATTCATTATCATTCTGATCTTGAATTTGTGGGCAGGTAAAGCAGTAATTACTTTGCAAGCATAATAGGACAATTCCAGCAAAGGCCAGGCTAGATGAACCAGTAGCAGAGTTAATAGATCACACAACCTGCCTTTGTAGTCACAGTATCATGTCCCCATTCCTGGCATAACTTCTCCGTAAATGGTACCTTCGACAATTAATAATTGTTCATTGTTGTGCTAATTTCACTACAGGATGACTCCTCCTGAGCTTCTTCCTCATGGCACTTTGGTAAGATCCTTGTGTTAAGTAAAGCAAAGAGTTTACTGTGGTTTTCCTTTTTCATTTGTGCAATGAGGAAATACATATAGTTGTCAGGTCAAACTGAGAAATTAACCAGTAAGATTTGAACCTGCGACCCTTGAGCAACTTGGTGCAAAGGCTGATCAATCCAGTGAGCGAACCGGGGCTTTCTGAATGGTGTCTCAAATTGTCAGTACGGCTGTTCTTGAGGATAGAGAGAGTGGCCCGGTGCTGAGGGCTCATTACTCATGATCTGAGGGTCACAGGTGCAAATCCAGAAGCCAGCCATATGTTGTTTCCTGGAACATACCACTTCACTCCCACGGACTTTTCTCAGGAGTATAACTAACCTATGATGGATTAGCAGGGCTTGAAAAAATACACTAAGTCCTCTTTACGCTACTAGCCACATGGCCCATGGCTTCAGCTTTTCTCACAAGGAAGGGGTTCACAAGATTAGCAGTTGACAGCAGTGACTTGCCTCAGAAGCGTTGTTTGATAATGAAAGTTGTTGACGTTTTTCATGAAATGTTATGCCTTGGTTTTTGTGGGGTTTTTGTGTCCATGTGTAAAGCTTTGCAAGTAGTGTTGCTTGAATTAGAGAGTCACCTTGAGAGTCTCTACCACGTGTGAATTGAATCCTTTTTCAACTTACAGTTGAAGCAATTCATCCGAGACATACAGAAAGACATCAAGGAAGAAGGGGATGAACTCATTGCTGATGGCGAGTATCAGGCAGCAGGCTCCATGCTAACTGAAGCTATCAATTGCAAAGAGTAAGATCAACCTTCCCACTGACTTGTCTCATTGGATTTGATCATGCGCGATCTAAAGCTGACAAAAATGATGGAGTTCTCCAGAAATACTTTTTGACTTCACAGACCTTTCAAAAAAAAGATTTTTTAAAATCCCATGGTTGTCACTACATACATCAGCCCCATGACCAGCTTCAGGGAATTTTTGGAGTGGTCAGAGTGCCTACTGGGGGGGATACAAATGTATCTGAAGAACAGTACATCTTTGTAATGCTTAATAGTTTTTACCGATTGAGATGGAGGTAGCCACTCACCGGGGGAAGAAGCCCAGCCCCTTCACAACCCTCTCCCCAACCCACGGCGACGTGCCTTCACTACATGCAAAACATGTACTGTATCTGTCAAAAAGAAGTGTTTAAGAGCTTCTTAAATATTTCTTTTTTCTCAATATTTTTGTAGATGCAGTTTCTTTGATTGGCTGAGAGCACAAAGGTGTGCATTTCACACTTGCACACACCCACGTTTTGCATTATATGAGCTGGAAATAGTTTCGTTCTCAAGAAGTTAAGAAATCTACTAAATGATTTCCTGTAAATTTGAATCAAAAGCAGTTGCACTGATCACAATACTGACTGTGTTGAATTTTTACAAACTTAATATGAGTGGAAAAAAAGATGATGAATCACCGGCAAGTTGAAGATTACCCTCCTTGCTCGGGCACAAAAATTAATAGTTGTGGAGTTATAGCAGTGTAAAAAGAAGATTAAATGTCAAGATCTGGCCTACTTAAATTTCACACCCTCCCGTGTAAAGACCTCTATTTTCTTGCAATCAGATGTTCAAATGGAGTACACAATTCCACATTTCAGTTACTTGAAACTTGCTGGATACTCATGTTCAACCACACTTGACAAGAATCTTCATTTACTGCGAGCAGATTGCGCTTACAAACTGGTAAGATTACTTTTTGACTCTCTGTAGTCGTCACTGTTAAGTTTTAGGCTCAGTGGAACATCCATTATGTGCTACTTTTACAATATTTACTTTAATTTTTTACAGTTCTAGTGCCAGCTGAGTTGTACTGTTGTTACAGAGTGCATGAATTAGCATAAATTGACGAAGAGGGTTTTCATTGCGCTTGTTATTAGAGTCGAGTTTTAAAAACTGTTGCACCAAACATGCAATACCTTCAGTGTATTCTGGTATTGTGGGGTAGATGTTATGTATTTACCTAATCTTACCTGCGAAAAGAAGTTGATCTTTGTACATGTACATTCATGTACAATTGCCTTTTCCAGTTTTTAATAACATGCTGTCTATCATCGACTTCAACTGGGGCTGGTTGCATCCACAGACCCCCCCAAGTATATGCAAGAAAAAGACAGTGGCCAATCGTTGTTGACCGTTTATGATAAACTCACACAGGTTAACCCTCCCCTCTCTAATGTACACTTTTATACGTGTGTGAAAATGACCCCCAAAAATGGGTGGTCCATAAAAGAACATTCTCCGAGCTGCCAGTATACGCGATGCATACAACCAAGCATTCTGGAATGAGGCAGAGAAATAAGGTACATCCCTACTGGAGGTTAATTGGCCGTCTACAAAATGGCCTTATTCATTACTCATGTGCTACCCATTTCACACTCTGTAACATTGTCATGTTATTAATTAGTTTTATGTACATGTAAGGAGACTACATGTACATGTCCATGTAACTCCTCCAAGTTGCATGTTTGTTGGACCCGCATTCCAGTACAGCACATCAGTGCTGCACAGGGGTGGAACCAATAGGTTGTATATGTGTCTTTCTGGGTTGAATTGTCATGGTCATAGTACAAATAGAACTTTGAAGTGTTTGTTCTGTTTACTTTGATAAATTGCTGTTAGCAGGTGTTTTTTATAATATTTTTATGCAGGGTAGGGGGTATGTTGATTTGCATTCATGTAAATATTGATAAGGTCAGAGTATAACAATGTGGCTCAGTTAACATACTTGACTGACATTGTATACATAGGGTCCAATCAAATGGTTTCAAAGTACCATGTGATCATGTAGAGTTTCCCAGAGATTGGCTTCCAATACAGTTGGCAAGCATATGATTAGCTACAGTATGTCACATGTTTGCAACTAGACAGTGAGTGCTACGTGTATGCGTCCCCGAGGTTGTGAAAACATGATGTCCCACTTCACTGTAGTCAGTAACAGTTTTTTATAACTTTGCCTTGAATTCTTGCAACATTTTCCTCACCTGAAGTGTTTCCAATTTAATTGAAACGATGAGTGCCTCACTCAGTTGCTGCACAGAAAGTCATAAAATGAGTACATTGAAGTATTTGAATCATTGGTCATTTAAGAGCTTGACAAAATATGGTACGGGACTTATCTGGAAGCACAATGTGGCAGCAGGAAAAAAGAAATCTTGTTTGCATTGCATGATGACTTCATGGTATTCTGAGCATTTAGGAAGGAACCAATTCATTGTTCTCATGTGCTGCGAAGGCCCAACAGCAAATTTGATACAATAGTTAGCCCTTCTATTTTCTTACAAATCATTGCTTCAAACCTTAAGAGCATTGTTATACATGTAAGAGGTACATGTATATTTATTACCCAGTGTTATCATGCTACTCCTTTTCCCTTTTCTGAATCATTTTCAAGTCACTGACTTATTTATAAGGAAGACTGGAATGCCAGACAATGCCACAGTACTCCAATACTGAAAGAATGTAGCCCATACAGACTGCTTGAAGTTCATTGACATTAAAACTGCACCTTTTCAAGGTTGTCATCATGAACAGTTTCCTGTTAGCTTTGGCAAGCACATGTATGTTGTTCACATTGGTGTTCCATTCTAAAGCATTTTGAAACCAGACAACAAAAATTTTCGCAGTATTAACATAATGATAAAATGTAAATCAGAGCCAATTCTCAAAATAGTTTTTGGTGGTGAATTTGTGTCGGTAATATTTCCACACATGAAAAATAATGTTATGTTATTACTAAAGTGTTGTAGCGTTGATCCTAATTTGCATAAAGGAGGTTCACATAGCGGTACTTGTGCATGTAATGTGTCCTTAAAATCCCTCGTTCTAAATCAATGTGCAAACTAAATCCTGTTTTGAGAGAATAACTACTCATACCCCTCTGTGTATTTCTAACCCTAGACTTTTACAAAACGTAAAGCTTTGCATTGTGGCCTGCTTTGACGTGTGTGGGTAATTAGGCAGTCATACGTCTTTCAGATTTTCTCAGAGACTGAAAAATCGGACAAAAGCGTTGCATATCACTCGGCAGTGTTGCTTGGTCCCTGTGACTGTTGCATGACATCTGGTCATAATTATTTGATAAAAATATACCAGATATTAAGGCAATAGGCGACGTCGAGTACCATGGTGGTACTATCGAATATGGTGTTATTTGTCTGGCAGAACATCTCACATCATAAACCCAACCAACATTAGATCTTTTATCTTGCACCCAACAAGTTGGAATGGACATCCCCACAGTCTAACTGGAGACTGCAGTAAAAGTACCAACATTCGAATTTTGACCACAAACAGAAAAATTAAACTATTGCATGCATTTAGCAATTCTGAATATGAAGGTTTGAGAATGTGGCACACCATAGCATTGTAAGATTTGTGATGTGTTTTAATGCACCTTGGGTAAGACATTAAATGCATGTACAGTCTTGTACCTTGGGTTTCAATGAATACCTTTCTGCTATCGCAAAACACATGTACATCTTTGTTCATCTCTCTTCCCTTGAAGAGTACTCTTTGAATGCAGCACCAGTATATTCGTTTTTCAACAGTTTGTCTAACATGTTTTAAAACAAAGGTTTGGAATTCGAGCATTCAGTCCTGAAATTGTTCAAACGATAATCATTTTTTCACTGTGTTGTTTGTTGTTTCTGGGATTATTTTGATTAGGGCTGATTTAAAAGTACGGAGGGATGATTATGAGAGATCTGGTGGGTAACTAAATGGGTGATTTGGGCTCAGGTTAAACATGGGAGCAGGTACAGGTACATGAACACTGTAGTTTCAAAGCCTGTTTAACATGTTTTTCTATTCCTAACATTTCTGTATTTTTAACAGTAGTGCTTCCTGTTAAAACTCATCAAAGCGACAATAATGACTCTGCACATGTATGCTCATGCATGTACATGTACATGTACCTGGTGACATACTAGCACATGCATCCTTCTTTAGTGAAATGTGTGATTTACTGTTTCCAATGTACATATACCTTTGCAATATTTCTTTGATAATTGAAAGCCAAAATACAATTTCATGCTTCAGCTCTAGTTCTTCAAAATTCTGTAACCAATTTTTCAATTGTATTTATTTTTTCATTTCTGTTGGGTACTGTGATACATGTACATAGTGTACAACCAAATATGTATGGGTTCCGTTTGTTTTGATCTCATGTTAACCACACCCACTGTACGTGTGTGCATGATCAGTCATACCTACATATATGCCATATGTACATGTATGTGCTATGCGTACACATGTATGTGAAATGCATACATATTCATTGTCTGCTTCTCTCAGAACCATGTGGGCAAACCTGATTCGCTGCTTCCTGACCTGACTGGGCTGTCATGACTTACTGGGAATTCCCCCCCATATTCATGAGAAATGAGGGCATGTGTAATGATTGCTGCCGGTTGATTACACTATGCACTGTCAAAAGGGAAATCTGAATGCCTTAAGACATTGCGCAAGTTCAGTGTGTTTTGTTGGCTCAAATCTGGGCTTTTAGTAGTTGAGCTTTGATTGTGGAGCTGAGTGGACCTGTTCTGTAGACATGGGTAGTAACTTGGCAAGATTCATTCAGGTTATTTCATGTGTTAAAAATTTTGCTGATTTGTTGATGTCTTAAATACTTGGGCTGAGTAACGTACATGAACCTGCCTATGTTGCATGTCAGTAGGATCAACATGTTTGTATGGCAGGCTCATGGGATGCACATTTTAAATGAATTTGTAAAAAGAAACATGTCATTTGGACTGAGTTTCTTAAATCTTGAGAAAGTGTGATGCATGAATAGTCTGACTTTTTTGACATTATCTGGTGTCCTGCTGTTCTGTACCAGATATGCCAGAATAAATGACAGAGTGGTAGACGTATGCACTATTACATTGACATCCTTCATGCACAAAAAGTGAAACTCTTGACGTGTTCTTGCCCTGAAATTGTTGGGTTTTTGTTTTTGATTTCTGTGTTACTTTACAGTTTCCTTTTTTATGAGGACAACATTTGTTGAGTCCACAAAGAGCGTTAAAATTCTCTCCACTGGTATCTTGGTGTGACACAGTTGTCATAATTTGTCACATGTTACCTGTACATGTTTCTGGTTTCCTTTGTGTCATTATTTTTGTTATGGTTGCAGGGCTACCCTGATGCTGCATTAGAAGATTGCCGCTCAGGTAAGTACCTGTGCCAGTATATTATTATTTTGCTGCAGGTACAGTAGTTCTTAGGGCTTTCATCCTAATTTATGTGTACTGTAAGTTACATCTACCCTTAACCACTTGCTGCCGGGTGGTTTGAAAAATGCAGTGCACACATACTGGTCATTTTCAAGATTCTCAGTTTTCAAAATTCTTCAAAAATTCATCATTTCAATTAATGGACGTTTACACCCCACGAATTACTGTCTGGTGGCCACTCTAGCCTGACAGACAAAATCTATTGATACCCGAGTATTTCAGCCATTTCTGCAGCCTTGTTGAAAGAGCCCAGATTGTGCGGTGTTATGCAACTTTCTTTTGTTCACGAACCTGGCACAGTGCGCTGCTGACCTCTTTTCAATAGGGGCCAGATTAGCGTGCAGCGGTGCTGTGTGGCTCATCGCTGCGGTGGTGGAGTGCTTTTGTCCCCAGTGGTATCCGCTTGCTCTAAATGCCCCAAACCGTGGTATACTGTTTCAAAACAAGGCTGGATTATCTCCACTATTGAGAGTGAAAAAATGTCTGTAATGCCCAGCAGCTCAGTCTTTTGTGCCGGGCATGGTCTTTTGTTACAAGGCCCAGCTCTTTTGTCCCGGTTTTGGGCTCCCCGGTTTCGTGCTGGAAAACGGGTTCCCCCGGCAGCAAGTAATGTAGTTGAAAGGTTTTGACTAAGCGAGACCAAAGGCGTGGGAAAACTTTGAGTCTTTTTTCCCTGTTCTTTCATATATGCAAACTTTCATTCAGTCGTTTGAATGTGTACACTCAAGTTTCCTTTAACCCTGGGGATTTGCTCTATGAACAGTTATATGTACATGTACACCTGTAGTAATTTGTAATATAACAATGTTTTGATATTTGATGACTAAATTGCCTCGGACACATTTAGACTTGACAATGTAAACTTCAAGATTCACTTTTTACATGCCATGCACAAGCACAGAGAATACCATTACCAGTGAAGTGCAATAACGTCTTGTTCTGAAGTAATACTGTGTTTCTACATGTATGTGGTTGTAATGATCATCTACAGCATGCAAGATTTCAAGATTTAGATAGTTGTGGAAGATACATGGAACGATGTGTGTTGTTATTCCATCATAACCTTGAAACAAAATGGCGTGCCAAATTCCAAACATTTTCATATGATGTATCATTTCTACTTGTACATTGTACGTGGCTGTACCATTTCTTAATGTTAAACTGGTGGTGGAAGTTTATGGTCAGCTATTTTGTTGACAATAGATCTTATTCATGGGAAGCCATTTTTTATTTTTATTCCCTGAATCAGCAATATCTGTTTAATGGTTGGAGCTAGACTATTTCGGGTCCTAAGCATCACTTTTCATTTTTATTCAAATGTTGATTGAAACATTTAAATTATTCATCAGTGTAAACTATCATTAATTTGGAAGGAATTTTAATGTCATTGCATTCATTTCGAATTGAAAGTTCACAAAATGAAAAGTTTACCTCACCTTGGCCAACTCATGAATAAAGTCTTTTGGCACTTCATTTGTCAGTCATGAGCACGAGACAGGCAAAACGTGTAATAAACAAAAGATAGAGGCGTTGCATGCCGGTCATGACAGCATTTGCGACAAGCGTACTCTGGCAACTCAACACAGACAGTGGGCAAACTTACACTTGATCCAGTTTTGCTGTTTTCCCGGCATCTGCGTTTGAAACAGTTGTGATTATGCCTGTCCATTTGATTGCCTGCCAGCAAGGGCTGTTTGGTGATTCTGTCTGAACCTCTTTACATTGATACGGAAACCAGACTTTGGTAAAAATTTCCTAACTTTCAGACTCCTGCTGTCTTCCCATTATTAATGGTGTGAAAACTTAAATAGTCAGTCGCCATTGCCCAACCAAATAACGTACACTCATGTGTTTTATCTGTGGGAGAATTGTCAAATCATGAGGTTTACACGGGTAGTTGGAATATCAGATATGGAATGTCGATCAAATTCAAAATATATAATATCAATATCAATCAAAAATCAGTATGGGATATTGCCTTGCATGTTTATTTTGCATTGACATTTTGAAATTTGGAGATGATGGTGGGTTTTTGTATAAAAAAAGACACACAGAGCGCAAGATTACACAAACATGTCAGTAGTGTCTTTTAATGCTAACTGATGAGCCAGTTCTGACACTGCTAGGGCCTGATATTCCATGTTGCTGTAAAGCTTGTCTGTTTTGGCCCACCAAATGGATTTTCATTTAACTGAGACCTGAAGAAATCAGAATAAGCCTGGCGACGAGTACAGAAATTTACCAATTGCCTATTTTTTTTCTTCATAAACTCTGAAGCACTACACAACACCCTACACATTGCTACCTAATGTGGTAATATTAACGTTTTTATCACAAATTATAAGTTTACGGTCACGGATGATTTTGATTAAAGACTAAAAGTGGGCATTCATTTGAAACATTTATCGGTCATTGGTGGTTGAGACGTCACTACCATAAAGCGAGGGCTATACCTTTGATTCACCCTTCGAGACCTGGCATTTAATCAAGGGCATGGATCGGTTAAGCCTGCCCAGCTACACTCGATTGTTTTATCACTGTCTTCTTGAAGCTTTGAAAGTGGACCCAAACAGTGAGCGTGCAAGTTGGCAGGAGGTACTGGCACGGTTTGACATAATCAAACAGGAATTCCACCGAAACAAGAACTTGGATATCATGATTGGCTTTGAGGTGCTACTGTCCGAGAAACCAGAAAAGGTAAGAAAGTAGTCCAAATTTAAGAGTACTACATGTACATGTAGAGGAAACATTGATATTTGTTGATCAGAAAAAGTTACTTGTCTTTTCTTGGATTCTTGGAACAGAACTGAGACAGTGTTCCTAATAACTTCCTATTTTCCAAGGAGGTCAATTGAACTTAACGTCAAAAATATTTTCGAAGAGTTTCCCAAATGTTCATGTTCTAAATACCTTAGCAGCCAGTTTATGATGAATCAACACAGTATGTAAATGTCATGTAATCGCTACATAAACTGACATGTGCATAACACCTCACCCAGAGATTCTGTATCTTGATTGGCCAAGAGCTGGTCACATGGCAATCACTATTTTTGCTATGTTGTGTCAAGCAACCGAAGTCATATACCCATAGCAAGGAAAGAATGACAAGCGTGACCATCGGTATTGCGTGCAAATGTATACTGGTGTGCGAATGCATACTGGTGTGCGCATTGCGCATCACGCACATTCCACAGCACTTTTGCCACAGCCCAAGCTTCAAACATGTTGTGAAGAGGGAGATTGGACAGTGCCAGTAAAATTCCTCAATCAACTGGATATATTTTATACGTAGTTACATCCAATTCATCAATTATCATTTAAATCAAGCAGAATCTGTGGGAAGGGTGTTATGAAACAAACATTGCTTTATCTCGTGGTACCTCGGTGAAATAGAATTCTCCATGGATCACCTCAGAGGGCTCCAAGCTGTCAATAATTGTATACTACATGTATACCAACCAGGAGACGGCATTGTTTTTCTCTTGTTCGTACAATACCAAACTCTCAGAGAATCAAAATAGATTGAACACCGTGAACAGTGCAACATTTGTTTGTGTTCTGCCTTCACTGGTTAAGGAAAATATGCACAAGCGTGAACTTTTGAGCTTTAGTAATACCGGTGTGTATGATGTACTGTTAGGTTCATTCAGGTGCTGCTTTGGACCTCGTCAACTTTGCACAAGCACTGCTCTTTGGAAATGTTGATATTGGCTGTTTTAGTTTCCACTGAGGGATATTTCAATGTTACCAAGTGGTTTTTGTGAAGAATTTCTTCATTCTGTGTTGTTGAACTATGAAAAGTTCAAGCACCCCCAAGACGTAACTGGTTCTGACAAGAAGTGAAAATATACCAGCATGGCTGCAGCTGTGGTTGTGCTTTGTTGCTGATGTATTGTTGCTAACATCATCTTCTGCCCTTACTTTTGGCTGTTCTTTGATCTGTTTTTGTAGATTCTTGAGCACCCCAAAGTGAAAGAAGTTATTAAAGAGCTGAACTTGATATTGGACCCCCACAAAGAACTGAATCATGTGAGACGTCGGCCAAAAGTCAAAAGTTCTCAGAATGCCTCATCACGAGCCCAGAATGGTGTTGCTGCAGGAGGTGTAGCAATGGAGTGGGTGCCCGACCACGTCAAGGCGAACAAGAAGACAAACCAGGTGAGACTGCAGGTCCACATAAGGAACATTCCTAGGTTCATTCATTCCTAGGTCTACAGGTACATGTATGGTGAGACAGACAAGCTATTGCAAGCAATAATGCATGGCTGTGGAACCTAGGGGCACACACAGAGCAAGTTCAGGTGTGGACTGTTGTTCGACTGGTAGTGAGTTGCTTTTTAACAATATGCATGCGCAATTCTGTTACGCTTGAATAATCGTGATCGGTCCGGTTTTGAAAATTATCATTGTTACTTAAATTTCACCGCTGGCTGCGATTGTTTCAGCATACATGTCATTGAAATCTTGTACAGCTATTTCCATGGGAATGGTTCCCCCTGTAATGATAAGTGATTTCGGTTATTGATAACCATCAGTGCTACCATACCCTTGGACTTGGTCCCAATTGGTGGCCTAGATAGTTCAAATCATCCATCGTTCGGGCGGTGTTAGTCTAACTGTGGTCAGCGCTCAAACTTGCCCATCGACGCTTGTATGACTACCAGTTGCACTGAAGATTTTGAGATGTAGCCATAGTCTTCAAATACACCTGCATGCATGTACAGTGTATGTGTCGTCAGCTCCATGCCTGCCTCGCGTTGTACAATTGTCTGCCCATGCTGCATGCCTCACCGAATGAAGTGGTCATCCAAACTGGAAGGTTTTTTAGGAAAGAAGTCCAAAGGGCCCTGTGCTCTCACATGCCCCCCCTTACTCTATATATTACATGCAGTTCACTTTTGGATTCTAATATCCTTTGAATACACTGACATTTACACACTGCTGAGGGTTATGTCATGTAATGTATTGGTTCATGCATGCCATGTGTGACTCAGACTTGAGTGTGAATACTTGTGCAGATAATTTTTGTGTGTCTGTGTACATGATCACATCAAACTTTTCTCAAGCACTCATCTGTGTATTCCTTCTCACATCACTCGGTCGTGATTACATAACTTCAGCTTGGTCCGTCTGTTGTCATGTCAATTTTTGCCAATCTCTTATGTCTTTTCATGTTAATTAGAAAGCGAAAGCCAGCACAAAGAACAAGAAGAAGAATAAGACCAAGCCGCTGGTTCGAGAATTGTCGTCAGAAGAGGAAGAATCCTGTGAGGAGTCTTCTTACGAGAGTGGTGAGTCTCAGCCCCTAATGCAGTCTAATTGGTGGAGCAACACGGAGGAGATGGTGGTATTTCACATTAATAAACCAGGCTTTTGTTTTTAATTCTTGGGACTATGTTGATTGAAAATAATCACCAGGCATTCATGGCCTCGGTGTTGTTTTACATTGTTACGTGGTCATGGGCAAGACTCACAATCACTGAAAGGTTGTGCAGTGAAGAAACAAAATTACGAAGCTGTGTACCAAAGCACACATGGCATGTGCTCGTTTCCATTTAGGTTTCTGAGAACTCATGAAAACTCATGAAAGTCGAAAATCTTTGTCCTGATCCACTTTTTTGCATTTTGTGTAAAGATATTGACAGATGGATGATAAAAAATTGATATTTTCTGAGCATATCGTTCATTACCAGAGTATGGTAAATCATTTCAGTTTCATTATGTATTGTCTGATGATTTACTTCATATGTGTACATTGCCCTGTGTGTCACTTCATAGATGCATCAAGCATTTCAACCAGAGGAACCCGATCTGATAGTACCCGCAAGCAGGTTAGTCTGTCTCTCAAGCAGTCTCTGGACATTCTTGGACGAGTGTTCTTTACTCGTATGTTATGTAGTCACGAACAGGACCATGGTTAGCTGTAGTGAATCAGCAAGTTGTTTTTTTTTCAGTTGTTTACCGTGCAATGCAAGTAAGCGTCCAATGAGATTAAGTTGATACTTTTCATGATAAGGAACTTTACAAGGGTTGATATGCAGCAGCTACAACTGAAATGTAAACGAGACGTGGCAAAGATTTGCTGTCTGAGATTTTTTTCCAGACGTACAAATTGAACAAAGAATAATCACTACTCATGCCCCTTCCTGTTTACCCCTAACTACCTCTAACAAACAAAAATCCAATGGGAGGCTGTTATACAACTGTGGGGAATTTAGTACAGGTAGACGAGGTTCTAGACATACAAATGGCACCAATTACTTTGCATGGAGCTCATACAGTGTTGCCTCACAAGGAGTATGCTAGTTTGCACTGGTTGATATGACTGAATCAGGAAGGTTCGTAAAATCCGTCTGCTGATTTCTGCAACACTAAGTTTCTGATCACATATTCAGTCATCTAAATTGTTGTTGTTTGAACAACTTGATGTTGTTGAATTGTATTTATACAGACCTGCTCTGCAGCCACGTCTTCAAATTCTAGATCATATGGCCTAGATGATTTTGGTCCTATACAGCTGCCAAGCAAAAGTCAGAGCAATGGTAAGCTTTGCCAGTAGTCTTTACAAATTCTTGTAAAGAATGCCCTCTTTTTCTACCACTGAAATAAGATGAAAGACATAATATCATGAAATGAAGTCTGCGAATTTGCAAAATTGGTCTGAATATAGTGGTTTTGACAAGGTTTCAGTTTCCACTCAAATGTCAGTTTCCACTCAAATTCTGTTTCAAATTGCAAGTTTTCAAGTAATCTCATAGTATCACTTTGCTTACTGTGGCATTTAAGTTGAAGCTACCGGGGCTGAAGCAGAAATGAACGGAGATTGATTTCATGTTTTGCAGGGGCAACTCCCAAAGCCACATCCAGTGGACCACCACCTGAACCCCCTGGAAGGAGAGCTTCCAACGAATTGCTCCCCACCAGACTGCCACCGGCCATTGTGGATTATGCCAATCTCTACTGCAAGGTGTGCAACATGCAGTCCAATGCCCATAAGCAGCTGTTACAGCACTTGGCCGGTGCCAAGCACATGGCTAAGCAGGCAGAGTTTATGAGGACCCAGCAGGGGCATCAGTCTGCTGGGGTTCAGCGTGCACCTTTTAAGCCTCCACCAGCCCAGCGCGTACCTGGTATGTTGTCTTGTTGAACGTGTTTCTTAGCCTGAATTGTTAAAAAAGTAAATTAACATTCAGACTCTGAAGCAAAGACACTTATTCTGCCAAAATGTCCTGCTTCAATGCTATAAATTTGACCTCATGGCCTTAAAAATGCCTTCATCATGATTTTTCTGTCAATATTTCTCCCAGTTAATATGCAAGCATTTATATGATTTCTATAGACTAATCCCATTAGATGCCATAACTGTGGCGGCACAGCACTCACACGCAAATTCTTCAGCTTGACGCACACATGCATTTGGCAAATCATGACACCCTTGACACCTGTAATGTGCGCATACCAGCCGTTCATACCACTTGCCCATGTCACCTGTCCATGAGCATTTTCCAACCGCAGTAATGGCTTCTAATTCTGGTTTTCAAATCTACATTATAAAGAAATAAGTGAACAATGCTAACATTGCAGTGGTTTGTGTAACCTCCTTTTCCCAAGTTACTAAGTGCACTGAAGAAATGCAACCCAACCTAAGACGTAGCCAGAACAACAGTTGACAGAAAATTATTCAGTTGACCAAAAAATATCCTGTCTAATTTTCAACCATCCATGGAAGGGCATGTTCATTGCACATACCAATTGATGTCATATTTCTTGTACAGCCCAACCACAGCACTTCACTCTGCCGACCAAGAACACATATGCCTCGCTGTCCTCTCCAGACATCCAGGGTCCAAGGCCTACGATGCTGAAGTCACCAATGGCCCCTGCAGCAAACCAGATACACCCAGGACTCCCTCGTCCTGCCACTGCTGCCAGTGTGTCAGCCAGGGCTGGCAACATCGTGCCACACCCAAAGATCTCCCCGCAAAGTATGGAGTGGCTGAAGAAATTTACGTTCAGGTATGCAGGTGATGATAGCCCAGTTTGGTACTCCAACTTTATGTGTGTGCATCAGGACTGGATAAATTTTAACCTTGGGGAGAAAACGAGTTAACTGTATGGTGCATCAGTTGTAGATTGTACAAAAAACGCCTATCATTTCTATGGAAAAATCTTCAAACATTGGTCTATTTTGCACAGTTGAAATACTAAGATGCTTGTTGGTTCAACCTGTGACATGGTTAATGTGAGAACTCAGTCTGTAAACAAACGTGGCAAATGTCTAGTATTCAAATCATCTATTTACAATCCCAAGGTTCACAGGTTTTCTCTGTGTTTTCTCTGGTTTTCTCTGCACTGCATGGAGCTCCAATATCACTATGACATGAAATTCAATTCATAATACTTTCAAACTTTCATCACAGTTGTCAATTAAGTAAACAAACCAAATCTTGTACACGTATAGAGACTGTCAATATAAATTACAAATTGTCACCAAATTACAAATTGGCGCAACATAAAAATGCGCCACCAAGGTCAACTGTGAATGCTACTAAGGCAAAATACACCCCTACTCAAAATTACTCAACAGCGAACATGCCAAAAAGGCAGAGTGAGCCACTCAGGTAAAATGAGCCACTCAGGCAAAATGAGCCACTAAGGCAAAACGAGCCACTCGGGCAAAATGAACCACTAAGGCAAAATGAGCCACTCAGGCAAAATGAGCCACTAAGGCAAAATGAGCCACTCAGGCAAAACGAGCCACTCAGGCAAAATGAGCCACTCAGGCAAAATGAGCCACTAAGGCAAAATGAGCCACTCAGGCAAAACGAGCCACTGAGGCAAAATAAGCCACTAAGGCAAAAAGAGCCACTNCAGGCAAAATAAGCCACTGAGGCAAAACGAGCCACTCAGGCAAAATGAGCCACTCAGGCAAAACGAGCCACTCAGGCAAAATGAGCCACTCGGGCAAAATGAGCCACTAAGGCAAAACGAGCCGCTCAGGCAAAACGAGCCACTAAGGCAAATGCGCCGTGTTTAATTAGACACTAAGTAACTAACTAACCATCAAGGTGGTCTTCCAACATTTAGTGAGACCACAAACTCACAGCAAACAACAAATTCAATTTAAGTAATCCTTAACCAAAATAATGTTCAGTCCATCCTTCCGCTATCATTCAATGGTTCTTGCGTCCCGGCTGGATGTGCTGAAAACACCATATCTGTTGACGCACACAGGTAGATGCAGCCGCACTCAGGAGCAAGGTTGCCACGTCCACAATAGCCAATAGTCATGACATCTCCCCTTTCAGGTACCATGCTGCGCAAGACGTTGGTAGTAAAACTTGGGTTGTCATTAAGTGCCACTTATCAAGGGCCCTCTGAAAAATTAAGATTTTTGTACAGGAAAATACAGGATTGGTTGTGTAATTCACACATAAATAAAGTGCACAATTCAACTGAGTTTTGTCAGTACCTATCAGATGACATGCTAACATTCAATTAAATCATTTAAATGCACTTCAAAGATAAAAGAAAGGAAAATCTTCTTACAGATATGTGGCCTCGGTTGTTGCTTGTAATTGGTCACCAGTCCAATAATCACACGGTTTATGGAGTCATGAACACTCAGCAAACAAGCTAGAAAAGCAAATATCAAACCCCAACAGCAAACTCTCTAGTAAATGTGTGGAGCTATCTGAGAACGGAGTTTGACCACTGGTGACTAAGACAGCGAAATTACTGACCCCTGGTGATTGGTTAAGGCACACTTTATATACACACACATCAACTCACACCACCGCCTCACACTCCAGTGCCCATAATAAAAGGGCGACACCCAATTGTTCACATTCCACTGGCATCGTATGTACTTACCCTCTGGAGTCTCTAATGCAGGATTCACATTGTAGAGCCCTAGACATCATTTCCAATGCAAATGAATGACATCAGGGCATAAAGTAGATATTCAGCACTTACAACTAGACAAGGGAGGAGTGCAACAAACTTCTATGACAGCAAACAAAATTGAGAAAGGAAAACACATTTTATTTTACAGAACACACAACCTGACTCAAATCCGATTTTTTCGTTGTACTTAATGCCAGTACAGTGATTCTTAGATGATCAGTAAGGGCCGGCGACCATTTAGACCCGGTTTGAAAAGGGCCCCCCCGGTAAGCTCGCCCGGTTGCAAAAACCCCTTTCATACCGGCCTGGCTACCGGCCTGGGATGCTGGACTGGTTGTTGATCTCGAACTTCTTATTGTTCGCAAGTACTGGTACATGTAATCTATCCCAGAAGGAACCTGCTTGTGGTTTTTAATCCTTCGGCTCTATACAATGTTTACACTAATCCGCTCAAACCCCTATTCATCTGTGCAAGCATGGTGGGGGAAGCCTTTCATCAGGGACTTTGAAATGCCAATGTGCAGACAGGCCTTATACCGGCCTGGAGTAGGCTGAATACCGGGCAGGCATTATACCGGGTGGGCTACTGGGGGGCCCTTTTCAAACCGGGTCTAAATGGTCGCCGTCCCTAACTCAAGCACTCACCGCGCTGTGAAACAAATCGGAAAGTAATTTTTAAGAAAAGGCCAAGTGAGAAATAGTTTGGAAGGTCTGAGACTTACTAATAAGCCACTTGCAAATTAAATTTTATTAAAATCAGGTACACTGTGTTATCTGATTGCTCAAAAACGAAACAATTTGAATTCCCTAGACTAAAGACACTGTTGCTATACCTTGTGATTCGGGGCAAGCTTTTGCATAGCTACCTCCATCTCTGGGATGGACCAGTTCCTTTGTGCCGTTCTTATCCATTGAGAACAATGTATTGTTGCAAGGCGTCTCTTATGTAACTAAGCAAAAGCTTGCCCTGAATCACAAGGTACAGCAACAGTGGTTTTAGTAGGGAGAATTCAAATTGTTATGTTCATGTGTGAATTTAGAGAACTAGATTTTATTCAAATTTAACTCGCAAATGGCTTATTTGAAGAGATTGTTGATTCTTGTCTCTTTCAGGCTTGCGTGTGAAAAGTGCTTCCCAACAATTGCCGGCAAGTTTGGCTACAAGGGGCACAGATACCAACCACATGATAATCATCACTGCTATGGCGGATGGCTGATCTGCAGACTAGGCAGCTTGTCACACCCCTCAGAAGAGGTTTGTACCAAGATTGATTTGTTTGCAGTGTGATTGGTCAGAGGATTGGATGTGTTTGAATCAGGTTATGTGATTGTGTCAACGGGCAGTTTACTTGTTCATATCCATCTGTTTTTAAGTAGAGCCATTTCTAAACAGTACTTGCAGTTCTTTTCTCAGTATGTTATTAACCTTTTTTCCCCACAGATATGGGGAAAAATTCGTTGCAGAACCAAGCCAGATTTTATGGGGCCTTACAGCCTCTGTCAGCAGTTCGACTCTGGCAATCCCTGCAAGGTTGGTGAGGATAATTGCTGGTACTGCCACAGCCGGGAGGAGCTGATGATATGGGATGCGGACCGTGCCGGTAGCTTCAAAGGCAAGGAGATTGTGAATTTCCTACGTTATTCCCAGGGCATTGGTGTCAAGCAGCCCAAGGAGGAGCCCAAACAGGACCAGTCTGGCTTCACAGTGGTGTCGCACCAGGGCTCCAACCGAGCCAAACCGGTGCAGCCCTATCCGGGAACCGGCATGGGAGCCAGCAAGATGGCCCCCATCGCTGTCCCAAATGCTGCGAAGGCCGTCCTTCCTGAGCAGCCCAAGAAGAAGCCACCTGTCGACGAGAGCCTCCGCAAGTGGCACCTGATGCTGATGGCCAGAGTTGGGGGCCACTTCCTGTACCTGTGTGGGAGGTGTTTCGACGGTGCCCCGCCGGTCATGGCCCTGAGGAGCCCCACAACACCATTCTGCAGCAATGAGGAAGGGCCGCATCCCTGGGAGCAGAGCAAGGTCCTGGTCCACATCTTTAACGAGAAGGGCAAGGCCCGATACCAGAAGGTCCGGCCCAAGCCTAAGGGGATACCCGCCAGGGCCTACCTGTGCTACAACATCCAGAAGCGGTTTGGCTGTCGGTTTGGAGATTCCTGCAAGTTTGCTCACAACCTGGTAAGAAGAATATCCGTTTCCTCCTTGCCACCTCATTCCTCCCTCTCTTCAAGGGGGTCTTGTAGCCTTTAATTCCCTACTGGCCGTAGTGTATGCTGTAGTCTATTCAAAGGTTGATGAAAAAGCATTAATTGATGGTATGACACCCCTTACCTTGAGCATTCTAGACCTTACAATTTAGTAATGAGTCAGCTCAGTATTTCAAACAGGCAAATTCATTAGAGAACAAACTGACATGCTAGCTTTAACACATTCACCGATTTTGGAAATAATTGAGTGATTTACAGTATTTTTATGCATTTCGTCTAACTAAACCAGGGTTTCATCATTTATCAAAGAACTTTTTTCCCTGTGGCTCTTGGAGCACGGGTTTTAAAAGATTCAATTGTTTTCTGAATTCCTTTGAAACAGATTGAAATAGAGGTCTGGGAATTTGAGGTGTTGTACTCATTGATGCGAGACACCATAGTACAGCTGTGCTCAGAAGCAGCGTCTCGTCAGCCAGCCCAGGCTCCGCAGCCTCCTGCTTCCTCAGCTCCTGGCCCAACCCCCAAGGCAGCACCCCCTGCCAGTCAACCCTTGCCAACCCCATCTGTGTCCCAGGCCATTCCCAAGTTCAACCATAACATCCAGTACGTGTGCGGCCTGTGCTTCTCGCGGACCAACCAGTGCGTGGGCCAGAACCCCCGCAAGCGAGACAACTGCGCAGGGAGCAACCCCCATCCCTGGCAGCACAAGATAGTGGTGGTGTACTCGGTGGCCAGGAAGAGGTTCTTCCCTGTTAAGCCCCGACATCCCAACCTACGTCGTGAAATCCATCCCATACTGTGTAAACACCTCGACAAGTGCTATCGAGCAGAGTGCATGTTTCCTCACTGTGAAGAGGAAAGTAGCCTCTGGAGATACATGGCACAATACAATCGTGAGTATTTGGTGTCACTCATGAGGTGGTAATCAAGCTGAATGTTGCCAACCGATGGCTGCTTTCATTCAAATCATGGAAATCATTCAAATCAGTTGGAATTTACACCTGGAAGGAATTTTTACAGTTAATCTTGAAAAAGTTTCTGTTGGAAATTTATCCCTTTGAAAATTCTCCCAAATTTGCAACACTCATCATACATACTCATGAACTAATGCTGTATAAACCTGATCCGCGTACAACATACATCTCGACTATCCTAAAAACTTCATCTGTGTGTTATTATCGGACAAACGCCATCCAACTGGATACCAAATTTCCAATTTTCGGGGAAATGTGAATCCTCGTTCTGGGAGCCCCAGTTCCCAGTTGAAGTACAGGTTAAACATTGAGGAGGCTATTTCTCATTCAACACTGATTCACTTTATTACACCTGTCCGTTAAGTGATGTTATCTCCCTGACTGGCTGTTGTGATATTCTAACCTGACTAATGCTTATGACTGCACAGGTCAAATATATTGATAAATTGGATTATTTTATGTACCCGGTGGTTGTAAGCCATTAGTAGTTGTGCGCTTTGTCAAACAAGGTTTATTTCTCATTGGGGAAATTCCAAATGCTAACTACCCACTCCGAGTCATAATTTGAGAAATTGTACAATAGATCCGATTGCTGTGTATTATTTGATGGTGTATTGTCAATCTAGGAACCAAACTTCGATTAGGACATTTCTCATCAGGAAAAGTCCCCATCCCAGTAATGGTGATGAAAAACCAAAACATTATACATGTAATCCAAATGCTGCTGGGTTTTCCAAGGCAGATTTCTCTGAACTGGGGTGTTTTTGTTGTTTTGGAATACAAAGCCATAGCCGATATTCAATAGAATTTGCAAAGCGATGTAACTTAAGAATGTCATTGGCCATTTGGATTACTTATTTAGTGAAATAATTCACCTACGGTCAGAATACATTTAGACCTTTGAATGTCGGTGTACTGATCAGGCATGCAGCTTTCTCAGATCTGCTGATTTCCTCACTTTTCACTTCACACTCATGCCGCTGAAAATTAAAAAACACTTTACAAAGTCTTGTAAAGATTTAGAATTGCCTCTTTTTTTGGTTAAAGTTCAAGTTGCAAGCCTGACCGATAGCATGTAGATGTTGTATTTTCCAAAGGTTATGTACTAGTTTTCAGTGGCCAGTTGTGCCCTCCTGTACATTCCTCATGTTGCTTTCCATTTTCCCTTCTTTGGCTTAAAGTTAAAACTCTTGACGAGGTGATGTCAATCGTTCAGAGGCCAGCACCAGCAAGTGCCAAGAGTCCTCCAGCATCTTCCAATGATTCATTGCCCCGCGACTCCACGGCTCCTCCTCAGGTGACCCCTGGGCCTTTCACTGTCCAGCGCTACTACTGCAGTTATTGCAACCGGGCCTTTGCCCAGGTCTGGGAACTGGAACAGCACACCCAGACCATTGACCATAGGTCAAAGGTCAACTCAGACAAGGAGAGGCAGTGGAAGTATCGCAGTCCACCGTGGGGCGTTGTCAACGGAGAGTACAAAGAATGCGAACAGTGAGTAAAGTTATGAAACATGTCACACAATGTTCCGTCTCATGGCAGTTAAAGAAGACATTCTTTTATCAAATAAAGTAATCTAGTTGAAATTCCAAACATTTTTGGAATGTGAGTTGGTTTGGTATTTATTATTATGTCAATAGAGTGGAGGCTGCTATAACAAACACCGTTATATAAAACATTTTGTGTGGACCCCCTTTTGCTCTTTATAGCAGCATTCCACTGTAGTACATTAACCGAGTTTAGTCCATATGACAACCCCTTTGCTTCTTGAGAATACGCTCTTTCTTCTGGATCTATCTTTTGGCAGATTTCAGCTGAGTTAATTCACATAGATAACCACTATTTGTCATCAAGGCCTCTAACTGTAAACATATGAGTATTGGGTGGTTGAAGAACTGTTAAGAATCTCCAGAGCAAAAAAAAGGCCCATTTGCAGACTGCCTACATGGGTACGATAGCACGGATTACAACTACAGTCACAGGCTCGATGTCATCTTTTGTAAATTTTCTTTCTCTTTTCTTAAATCCACAGCCACAAGAGAAAGCAGTGTTACTTCACAAACTCCCCGCCAGACAAGAACACCTGCAACTTTGCACACAGCTCAGAGGAACTGGAGGAATGGCGAGAGCGCCACGAGTACCGCATAATGAAGATGAAGAAGGCCAAGGAGCAGAAGCTGTACGCCTTCATGGACGAAGTCCTGGAGAAGTACAATTTCTCCACCAATGAAATGAGTGTGGTGCGTCAGAATTTCAGGAGTTGGTTTCATCAGGGCCACTCCATGTTGGCACGATTGTAACTTTTCTGTTCAGCTTCCAGGCTCTCAGGGCAGATTTTTGTACTACTGGTGAACTTGTAGAAAAGTTACGAGGCCCTGAAGAAAACTCAGCTTAGCCCAAGTTTGAGTTTCTGCTAGAATTGACTCGCAAACAAAAGGAAATCTCTTTGCTAAGGAATTCTGTTGGAGATGAGACAACTGACGCAAAGTCATTTTATGCTTTCATGTAAATGAATTTGTTAAGCAAATTGCTGGATGTCTTTACTCACTGGTCATGTTACACTGTGCAGAAGAGTATTCATTTTGACAAGCTGAAATAATTTAATTTAATCCGAACACCTGCTAAGGGCAAAGATCAAAAGAATTTTTACCGTTCCTATGCGGACGCACGGGGGGAACAGGCCCATTGTTCTTAATTCCTGTGTACTTCTGCATTCGCACAGGCTCCGTTCAGTACGTGGGATTTACGCCTGACACTGCGCAACAATAGGTCAAAGAAACGGTCACGCTTGGTGCCCACCGGATGTCAATACAATAGATCTGTGTGGTGACGACGAATGACCTGGAAACCTCACATTTAGTATCCTATGAAGAAACACTGGCCCAAGGGAGTCTTGGAAAATGGTTACGATAGGGCTATATCTCTTGCAAATGACGTAAACATGTAGTTGCCATGACTTGGCTAAATTTGACTTTATGATAATTGTTTGATAAAAATAATAAACACACTTGTCGGCATCCGCACATAATCGGTTGGAAAGAACACAGAATTAACGCCTACCCTTTTACTAGGGGCTTGTGAACGTGAAAGCAGACTGCTTGGTTAACGTTCATGCGTTTGTGGGCGGGCCGGACCGGCACATGCAGGCTACACGATGCTATCTCGACGAGGCCTAGCTAGGCGTGCACATTCTTAGACGTTGTATCAGTAGTCGCATCAAACGCAGAGATTATTCTTTACACTGCACACATACAAATGATCTAAAAGAAGAAACTTCTTCAAACGGCTGGAAAAGAACTGCATGCACTACCCCACGCTTGTAACATGAGCATAGCAAGAATTCTTACTACTTGATAAAAAAATTGGCAATATTTGTGTACTATTCCTAAAGCATTCAACACAATGGAATAAAATTTGTATGTTTTTAATCGTTATACATTTTAGACTATGCAAACTGAAAACAAGGTGCCATGAGACATTATTTGCATGGCCAAACGCATGAGCAAGGTGCTGTGTGTGTCTCTCCGCAGTGTGCACAGAAAGAAACAAACAACATGAAAGAATTGTTAAAAGTGCACAGTTTTTGTGGTACACAGACTTGGTTACAATGGTGCATGCGGGGGAAACGGGTAATTAACATCACAAAGGATACACACAATGGAATTTCTAATGAGCTCCAGTCCTTCCCTTGGCACTCACCTAAGCCAGGAGTTCTACCACGAGAGAACAGGCCTATTGTTGGATTTATTTAATCCCCGTGCAGAAATGGAGGAACGCTGCCGAGCGCTTTTGAACGGGAAAAATACTCTTGATCTTCGCCCTAAGACGGNCCTTTTTTGGGCATTTCTGGAAGTACAAATAGTGGATGCCTAGCATGGACTGTAGAGTTTGCTGTTGTGCCCTACTGACAAGAGCCATTTTCCAACTAATAATTTGTCGCTCAAACTTAAATCTATAATTGTTTCTCACAAGAGCCATAGTGATGTTTTCAAAGTCTTGCTCTGTCTCTGTTTTGGACATCAGACTTCACTCGCATGAATTTAGTCACACAGGTTTTAAGACCTTGAGGTTCACCACAGGAATCTGTCTAAAGTGAGGCTGAAGGTTGGCATACGGGTATTCTATCATGTGATGCTACCAGTACGTATTTAAAACTGATTGGATGAAAACTGGATGAAGCGAACGGGAGATTTGGAGAATGGCCAAGGAAGGGCATGTGTGCAATCCAGGCAGAGTGCTTTTGACCAATTTCCAGTTCAATGGGCACAATGTTGTATTATTTTTGTATCAATTGGCAAAATTCAAGTGAGCGTGTTTGTGGGACTGAAATGGCACTAAAACCTCTGTATTAGAATGACATTGACATCTGTGTTCTTGCTACTAGTGGCATAAGAATACACTGAGCTACGTACCGCACTGTTATTTCAAAGTTTTATTCAAATTTGGACCCACTTAATGCATCTTAATCCTCAAATATTTTCCAATGTGCTTGTTTGTTCTCACTTATGTCAGATTACTGAGGAGTTGCCAGGGATACACATCAAATGCCATGAGGAGCTTAACAAGTTTCTCCACATTGAACGGAAAGAGGACACCACCTTTACCTTCAGCTGGAAGTTCCTCATCAAATCCAAGAAGCAGGTAAGGCCAAGGCGTCATAAAACTATCCCCATGAATGCTTCAAATGCTGTATTTATTGTACTGTTCACCTTCAGAGACGAGGTAAGGTGCAGGGATGTGTCGTTTGAGAGTGAATAAGTCCCATATAAAGAAACAGTGGCTGGATTCTCCCTTAATTCTGCAAAATTCTCCAAAGCCTGGTAGATTTTGAAGGGTTTCGAAGAATTGTAGAAGGCTTCTTTGTCACAAGCCAAAGACTCTAGAGGCTGGTATGAAGTCACAGAAATGAATTTACAAATATGTAAGTTTACCTTAGGACAGGCAGTGTCACACAGTTTAGTGTGGGTGGATGCAGCAGCAAAGGCTTCCTCATGTCGAATCTCAGGTTCCACACAGCCTGTTAGTTCTGTAGTGAATCATTGTTCTTATGGCTGATTTTCCACCAGCAATCCCTGAAGCGGGTTGGCCTCCTGTACGACGAACACCGCCTCCACTTTTATTTGTCCAGCCCAAAGGGCGAGGACAAACCTCAGGTGTGCCCAGGCACCCGCATCAGTGAAGGAGATGGGGAGACCTACCACATTGATGTCCTCTTCCACTCCAGGATGCTGGGTAGTTTCAGCCAGTGGGTCCTCTTTGACTTCGGGAGTGAACCTGTTCTCGTCCGTAAGCTGGAGGTAAAGTAACATGATTCCATTCACTAGACTGCAAAGAGAGAATGTCCGCAAGCAAAGAATATTGTACGTACAGTACATTTAAATAGTATGTCCTTTTAGTTTGAGACTGAATATGTAATCAATTTGTGAGTGACTTGCGATGGCTTTATGCCATTCTTGCTTTAATTTACAGCTCTATAGATATGGTACTTAAATGAGGATGTATCTGAGAAGATTTAGCATTTCTATGCAGGTTCACAGAGAGTTGAGGTTGACAAGCAACAAAATTTGGTACAAGACAGCTGATACAATTGCTCTTTTTTGGTGAAACATGCTTATTTAGAAACACAGGGTATCCTTAACTTTAATTCATGAGGTACACTTAAAATGATGGAATTGTCTTGATCTTTTGTTACTGGCAGATCAAACGGGAAATTTGTCCAGCAAAAGGTCAAAAGAAAACACTTGTAAATTATATGAGAGGACAAATGTTTGACAATCAAAGTCAAGACTGTAGATTGACCATACAAGTGTCATCCCTGCTTATCATTCAGATACACGTAGGCTCACAGGAGCACTTCGAGACCTTCCAGAAGATCCAACGCAAGAAGCAGATCCAGACCTGGGACAGCATCAACAGCGAGATCGTCAAGTTCCCTGATGCGATGACCCAGGCGTTTGAGGAGAAACTCCTGGCCACTTACAAGCCTCCCGCGGCCTCCCTCAGCATCGATGACATCGAGCTGAAGAGAATTGACCGAGACACCTACAAACTCCACATGCACAAGATGCTGCACTTGGAGGAGAGAGAGCAAACCAAGCGTATCGCCAGGTAATTGCAAACTCTTTCTGTCATCTACAGTCTGTACCCATCTTTTGTGTATACCTTTCCCACAGAATTGTGGTGAAGTCTAACAATTTTTTTAAAATTCATGTCTAGTGTCATTAAAGATGCAGGAAGTGTTGGTTTTCATTGATATGAAACATTGAGGAACACAGCTCTACAACATGTTTTGAAAACAGATATCAGTATTTGAAGGTCTATGGAAAGGTCTTTAGCCATTTGCTGTTGGAGACTCTGGTTTCAGGCACCGTTTGTTTATATGCGTGGCCGGGGCCTCTGAAATCAGACAAAGGGACCATGTAACAAAAGACCGTACTTGGAACAAAAGACCATTACCAACATTTTTCACTCTCAGTAGTGGAGATAATCTAGCCTCGTTTTGAAACGGTATACCATGGTTTGGGGCGTTTAGTGTGAGCGGATTAGCCCTGGGGACAAAAGTGCTCCACTACCGCAGCGATGAGCCACACTGCACGCTAATGTGGTCCATATTGAAAAGAGTTCAGCAGTGCACTGTGCTAGGTTTGTGAACAAAAGAAAGTTACATAACACCGCACGGTCTAGGCTCTTTTCACAAGGCTGCAGGCCTGGCTGAAATACTCGTGCGTCCATAGATTTTGTCTGTCAGACTAGAGTGGCCATCAGACAGTAATACGTGTGGGTGTAAATGTCCATTAATTGAAATGATGAATTTTTGAAGAATTTTGAAAACTGAAAATCTTGAAAAAGTTCCGATTATGTGTACTGCATTTTCCAAACCACCTGGCAGCAAGTGGTTAAAGAGACATAAAGATTAACTGTTGTAAATTCTCTATCATTTCCTGACAGATACACCATTAAAATTTCTCTGATATGTTGTATCTCGGTTATATAACTTGCAAATCTTACTCTTGAAGGTGCTCCCTCCCCCAAAACAGTAGGACAACTGGCAACAGGTGGATGCTGTGGCTAATTTGCAGACATTTACAGGCTGAATTAAATTACTCTTCTACATCCATGAAATTATTTCAATCACACTTTATGCCACTCTCATGAAACATAGCTTTGGCCATGGCATAGAGGCTAAAACATTCTGCTCAGCCAAACTGCTTCAGCTTTGAACAATGCCAGTCAAATAGTAGAGTCTCAAAACTGCTCTTTCATTTTGGAATCTTCTAAATTTTTTGTGACTTTCCAGTGGACATTTCCAGTTTGGCATGATGCTCATTGCTCAAATTCACTCATCCAAATTAGAGACATTTTATGGTTGTCTGTCTCTCAGGTTTTCAATTGAGACAACCCTGAATGCAGCAGCAAACATTAAAGTGGCTGGCCAGGGCCTCCTGAATGCATTGAATGGTGAGATGTACGCAAGTATCAGTCTGAAACAAGCCCTCATGGATGACTCTGAAGCCAGCCAGATCATCATGAGGAGCGTTCACAAAATGCTGCTTAAGTTTGATAAGACAAACAAGGTAAGCTGTCATAAGAAACCAGAGCACACTCTAATCCAGTGGATTGAACTTGTATGGTAGAACTTGTGCTCACTAGCACAAGAAAACCCTTCATTGGATTGAATTGGAACTTCACAGTTGTAGTCATGATTGATGCCTTTAAGTAGATTTCTCATTACAATGCGAGTGCATGGGAGGAATGGGCCCATTGTTCTGAATCCCCCCCATATTCTTGCATTCGCATAGGCCCCATTCAGAACATGGGATCACGCCCGAAACTGCGTAACAACTCAAAGAAACGGTCATGCTTGATGCCTTCCAGACTTCAATACAGTTGATCTGTGTGGCGATGACGATCGGCCCAGAAACCTCACATTTAATATCCTATTAAAGAAGCACTGGCCCAAGGGAATCTTGGAAAATGGTTGCGATAGGCCTATATCTCTTGCAGATGATGTATACATGTAGTTGGCAAATGAGTTTAGATTTTTACCTTGTTAATGATCAACTTAATATTGAAAAATCTAGGAAAGTAGATTTCCATGTGCATTTATAATAAACCCTGTTCTCAAAATAGCCTTTATTTGGGTACCACCAAAAGTTGATGGAATTTTTCGGTGTTGACTCGACTGACTGTCTCCAATTTTTGTTTTTCAATTTTTACTTGAGACTTGACTCGGAAAAAATAACTTCAGACTTAACTTGAAGGAACATGATTTGTGACTCGCCATGACATGACTATTGACTGTACGATAATCGTTTGTTAAAATGAAAAACACACTTCTTGGTGTCTGCTCATAATCGGTTGAACAGAATGCATAATCAGTGGTGACCCTTTTACTGTAGGCTTGTGAACATGATGTGCTGTGTGGCCGGGCCAGCACTTGCGGGCTACACACTGTGATTTCGACGAGGCCTAGCTAGGCGTGCATATTCTTAGACATTGTATCATTTGTTGTATCAAACGCAGTGATTATTCTTTACACTGCACGCATACAAATGATCTAAAAGAAGAAACTTCTTCAAACAGCTGGAAAAGAACTGCATGCACTACCCCACGCTTGTAACATGAGCGTAGCAAGAATTCTTACTACTTGATAAAAACTTGGCAATATTTATGTACTACCATTGACGTAGCTAGGATTTTACGAGTGTTTTTTTATTATTATTATTATTACTGGTTTATTTTTAATTGTACTCCTCGCCACCAGTGGCAGAATTGTGAATACAGTTTACATGTACATTAAAAACAGATTCATATAAATTTAAAAGGGAAAAATGCAAGTAAAAGGAAATCTATTTTACTGTTAGCAAAGCAAGCTGGACTTGGAGCTGAACAGTTTAGTTAGTCACACTATTAAGCAACTTTATCAATCCTACTAGAGGGCTGTTCCAATACCTTCTTGTGCAAGAGAAAGGCACTGTTATAGTTGTAGAATTACTGGTGCACCAGTCAAGAATATTTCCCTTTCAAAACATTGGTAGTTGTTCCATAACCATCAGCAAATTTGGCCCTTGTTTTATTCAATACCTGCTCCCATTATAAACCCAGCCTTGTTAGTGGCCCTTTTATTTTTAACCTCTATATACAAAATTTTTAAACATGTGTTCCTTTCTTTCAAGGTGTATGAAGCCATCATTTTACGAGATCAGGACTACGGGAGTCAGAACAACGACAGCATCAACCTGCAACTCAGTCAGGCTTGTGCAAGTGAACAAAATCTGGCCCACGGTACCACGCGGACTGTTCAGGTTCAGTTCCAGTTGAACAGGCTTCCGTTCTGCTACCAACACTTTGCTGTGGACTCCTTGCACAACATGGACATGGTGTTCCCATCACCAAAGAAACTTCAAAGGTAAGCTTCCAAGCCAAAGGTCAGGAGCTTTGGAAATATGCACTTGGTCATTACATATCAAACAAAATATGGAAAAATAGTGAAGTAATGATCTTTGATTCGGCTAGATTTGTGTTTCCAGACCATGGTTGTGAATTGCATAGCAAGATTTCATGCTTTTCATTCTTAGCATTGACTTGGAGCAAAGTTTACCTGAAATAAGCCCTCCAGCTTTACCAATGTTTTCATGGGTGCCACAACACCAACGCAACTGGGTTTTTCCAACAAAATCTTCAGAAGATCACACTTGAGAAAATGCATCAAGCTTTAAAAAAGGGTCATGCATAACGTGATGATAAGTGGTGCTGTCAATTGTCTTCTTTTCCTGAAAGGTATCCAGATTTGACCAATGTGGATGGAGCCGGAGGGAATTGCATTTTGAACACGACTTCTGACATGCACTTGAACCTGTTCAGGATCATGGAAAATCAAAGTTGCTGTGTCTACTAGGTCTTCATTGATAAGATTAAATAGGGACCATCATACTTGTACATGTGTAATTTCTTGGTTTAATTTCCTTTTGGGGGATTTTAGGTTTCCCTATATTGATGCTGATAATCTTCAGGAGACAAACTTCCGTCAAGAGCGTGCTGCAAGTTTCATCTGCCAGCATGGTGGAAGCGACGCCCTGCCTATGCACGGAGTGGGACCACTCTTGGTGTTTGGACCCTTTGGAACTGGGAAAACCTACACCCTGGCAACAGCAGTCAAGCGTACTGTGACAAGGCGTCCCTTGTGCAGGATCCTGATATGCACCAGGTCCAACAGGTAACAGAACAGAAGATACCCATACCAAGCACTTCCAATTCACCTTATGCATTTATTTAATGAGTAGCTCCACCACTTACTAAATGGCTGTTCTTCCTAGGAGGCATGGAGAGAAGGCAAAGAAGAAATGTTCAGTTTTGGAAGTGGGAGGAAAACCCTGGATAGATATTCCGGGGTTACCCACAAAATCATAGAGATCTAAAACCTAATTAATGTGTCGGGCCTGAGCAGCATTCAAACCTGGGTCACCGAGTTGGAAGAGTAGGAGTGTACCACTGATTTCCTCTATCTCCATAGAAGACGGAGCTCTATAAGAGCTGCGTGAGGGCTAACGGACAACACTATCCAAACATGAGTATTTGCAGGTGTCCATATCCAATTAGACCAGCCAGTATGTCAAGTACTATAGCATCCAAGAGAGGCATGGGGCAAAAGGGGGAATTTACCCCTCTTCCCCCCCCCCCTTGGGTTTTTCATGAGCAACATTATTTTAAAATTCCCTTCACCAACGTGAAAATCAGTTACTGTGTTTCCATGAAGAATGCTGCAAATTATCTAATACCGTTTTCTTCAAACTCCACCACTGTAGAAAGATGGTGTTGATGGTATCCCCTCCCCACTCCCCGGTGCCTTAACCGAGATGTCACATGAACACTCCTTGCTTTGTCCAACAGTGCAGCAGACTGGTACATCACCGAGCATCTGCACAAATTTGTGGAGCAGACATGGAGCAAGTACCACATTCGAATGATCCGCATCTATACCAACTACCGCAAGTTAATGACCATTGACCCCATTGTGCGGCCCTATGTCCTGATGGATGAGAATGGCCAAGTGCAGCTCCCAGATGCCGCCATGATCCGCAAGTACCAGATTGTCATCACCACGGTAGCCATGTCAGGCTACCTGGGGCAGATTGACCTACAGGGCCACTTCACCCACATCTTGGTGGATGAAGCTGGGCAGACATTGGAGACTGAAGTGCTTCTGCCTTTGTCCTTGGCAACATCAAATACATGTGTTGTTCTGGCTGGAGATCACATACAGATGAGTCCCAAGGTAAACAGTAAACCTGGCATCATTTTAATACAAAAAACTAGTTTGTGAAAGAAGTCTCGATCTGCATTTTGAAGTTACGTCACTCTTATTTTCTGAATTATTTCCAAATGACTGAAGTAAATATTAGGAATTGAGGGGACCCCCAAATTTGATCATTGTAGAGTCCTAAGATTTACTAGGGAGATATTTGTCAGCATTTTTCTATTAAGTATTAACTGTCAATGTTCACAAATTTTATGCCTGGCCACCGTGAGGCCTTTTTAGTTGTCAAGTTGGACCTTGAAATAGATGTAGATTTAACTCAACTTGAAGGCTTAATAGGGTTAAAAAGAAGGCCACAGTGATCCAAAAAACTGAAAAGTTGACCAAACTGGAGTTCCAACATTGTGAGAATAACGATGATTGACACTGATACGTCTGTTCCCATATGTTGTCCCCCATTCAAGGTGTTCTCTGAGACAGCTCGTGCTGCCAGGTTCAACCGGTCTCTACTAGAGCGGCTGTTCAGGCTGAACGTCACCAATGCTTTCCTCACCTACAACTACCGCACCTGTGAGGCAATCCTCAAGTTCATCGCTGAGACCTACTACCACGAGCAGTTCAAGGCCCTTGGCAACCACCCACTTCATCCAGAGTTCTATCCACTGACGTTCTGCGCTGTGAAGGGAGAAGACCAGCATGTTGGAATGTCCTATGTTAACAATCATGAGGTTTGTTCCTGTCATGGATTTGATTGAATTTGAATTTGAATTTGATGTGTCGTGATTAATTTTACAAATTTACCTATGTGATTAAAAAGAAATTTTGAATGAATTAAACTCTGATATATATATGTACACATGTCAAGATTCTTTGATTATGTAAGACCAGTCTTTGCCCAGTTAGTTTTTATATCATGACCCCACTGACCAGAGATTTTTACACTTATTATCTCCCTTCTGTACTTACAGCTTTAGCACAAAAAGTCCGTGCAAAGCAAGTAAATATCGAACATGAAGTGATATACAATACTAGAGTGCTAACTCACTGTGCAAGGTGAAGTCTACTGAGTGCATCCATGCACACACCTATGGAAAACTCAAAAGTTTAAAAGTTTTGCAGCTGTTGTACCGCTATTTGCATATCTGCATCTGTGATTTTACAATTTTTTAAAAAATTAATTCTTCGTGGTTTGTGGAAAAGTTACACAACATTCGACTGTACACAGATATCAGAGTTTGCAGGCTATGTCCAACAATTGATGGTACTCAGGCCATTTCAGAGGTTGGGAATTACACTCTTTTTTACATTCTTTTGGCCTTGTAACTAGGTTCTTGAGATAGTTTTCCGAGCAGAGGAGCTTTGTCGCAAGTGGCCTGAGAAATGGGGAAAGTTTAACAAGAACAGCATCGGGATCATTTCGCCGTACTCCATGCAGGCAAGTGCTAACATTCACATTCACAACGACACTAGTTTCCAAAACCTCTAGGCCCACGTACTATGTGATAAAATCCATGATATTATTTTTTCACATTAAAGTTGGCAAGAGCTTAGAGATAAGGTGACATGTTCTTTATTTGTGCAGCCAAAATCTCATGCTGCAATGCAAACAGTGCTAATAATATTGTGCGCCAATCCAAGCATTTGTTTCTTTGGGTAATTGGTTTTAGGTGCGTCAGATACGTTTTGAAATGCGTCGCCGAGGTCTGGGAGACATTGATGTAGAAACGGTGGAGAATGTACAAGGTAAATTCTTCCTTTCAAAGTCTCATGAGTTATTGAAGCGTGATACAGCTTGATCAGTCACGTTAATAGAGTAGCTTTTTTTTGCTAGCATGTTATTTGGTAAAGATGCCATGTTCATTTTTCCTTCCAGGAAAGCAGTTCCGGGCTCTCCTGATCAGTACTGTCCGCACTCGCAGCACCTTGAAGCGAACTCACCTAACGGTTGCCTCACAAGCTGGTGCAGCCAACCAGCAAGATGAAGAGTTCTACTATGGATTCCTGTCTGACCACAAGCTTCTCAATACTGCCCTGACCCGGGCCCAGTCCCTTGTCCTTGTGGCTGGCGATCCAATAACTCTCTGCTCTGAAGGGCAGTGCTCCACAACCTGGAAGGCCTTCCTCAAAGAGTGCGAGAGAAACAACAGCCTGCAGGTAAGATCCTCTGAAAACCATTAGAAATTACACAATTGAAATATACCTGTAAACAAAAGTCCAAAATGTGTTCAGAGGCTACAGGATGACAGAATTACTGAGATTTCTGAAATAAGTTATTGTCACTTTGCTCTTATGCCATCTTCACAGGGCACGTCAATGGAGGAAATTCGTCAAGAAGTAGAAGCTGCCAAGCAGCGTCTGAATCCCTTTGCCAAGATCTTCCATCCAGCAGCATCCAAGAACCAAACATCTCAAGCAAGCCAGCAGAAGGTCTTAGGGAGTAGGCAAGAGGCAGGCCTCATCAAGATGCCAGTGGGACAAAATCCATGGAAGATTCTGCCCAAGGAGCCTAGTGCTGCTATTACACCTGGATGGAACACAGCAGTTCCAGGAGTAGCAAGGCAGACCAGTGAGGAGTTTCCAGCACTGAGATCATCCAGTGTAGGGAACGTGCCTGGTAGACAAGACGAACTAGCCGACCAAGCCAATGAAAGCTCTTCGTCAGCAGATGATGAGGAAGACGTTGATCTGGAAGATGCAATCCTCCGAGAGTTGCAGAGACAGGTGCGGGAAGATCGAGGAGAGTTGGAGACAGCTGATCAAGATGCAGGCTCAGATCATGAGGAGGCCATTTCATCTGAGAATGAAACTGACCTCCAGGAGGATCTGCAGATTTACACAGGACAGTTGGCAGCACAAAGGCCACCGGAAGCCAGGCCTCCCACGGATAAAGATGCCTTGATTGCCAGTCATTTGTCTGATGGCTCCATCAAACGCAAGAACCTCACCAGCAAAATAAATGCAGCGAGGAAACTGCGTAATGTCCGCATGGTTGAAAAGCAAGGGCACCTCCTCCTAATTGAAGATAAAGTGGACCGATCTCGTCTTGTGGGAGCCGACACTTTTGAAGAATACGATTCTGATGAAGATGTAGAAGAGGATGTCTTGGATGAGAATGTGCAGCAAGAGAGTCTAGAGCATGTGCACAAGGAGCCAGAGCGCTACAAAATCTGCTCTTTTCGTTTTGATTTTAGTGGCCACACCTACGCCCTACCAAAGGACGAAGACTCCTCACTAAAGATCTTGATCACCAGCAAAAGGAAACGAGGAAAAGCTCTAAACCTGGATGAAGTTGTTGTTGAAATCCTTGAAGATGTAGATGAGCTGGAGATTGCTTCGGGATATGATGCTCAAGCTGATGCCACAGAAAAGAAGATCTATGGAAAGGTCCTGTGCATCCTAAAGCGTGCAGTCAACCCTTACCTTAAAAAAATTGTGTGCACCATTGATAAGTTTACAGACAACTTGATGGTTCCAATTGACAGAACATTCCCCAAAATCTTTGCCTACTCTCGCAAAGATGATGGCCAGAAACAGAAGACGAAGTCCAAGAAAAGCCAAGCTTCAGATTTCTCCAAAGTGTCTATCTACAACATTTGCAGGGGAACTGACCAGGGCTTTCAGTTCCAGAGAAACGTTGAAGTATCTCGCAAAGACCGCCCAAACAAGCTGTTTGTGGTTCAGTATCTGAAGTGGCATGCAAGGACTCCCTATCCTGTGGGCATCATCACTGAAGAGCTACCCCACGGAGATACCAAGGAAAATGGCCTCCGCATCCTGAAGCTTGTTCATGGCATCCGTGATAAGTGGAAACAAGCTATACTGGACGAGATGACAGATGCTTTTCCAGAGGACTGGAAGATTCCTAAGGAAGAGATCGAGTGTCGGTATGATGCCAGGAGCCGAGTTGTCTTCACCATTGATCCTCCAGAGTCACAAGACCTTGATGATGCCCTGAGTGTTGATGCAGTGGAAGAGAACTATTTCATTGGCATTCACATTGCTGATGTCAGTTACTTTGTCAAGAAGGATTCAGATCTGGATAAAGAAGCTCAAGAAAGAGCAACATCCTTCTATCCCAGCTTTGCCAAACCAATCAACATGCTGCCTGCTCAGTTGAGCAACAGGTTGTGCAGTTTACTGCCTGAAGAAGACAGGTTGACCGTCTCAGTCTTTGTTACCTTAGATGAAAATGGACAAGTAGTTGGTGATGTCAAGATCGTGCGGTCTGTGATTCGATCACGCATCCAGCTCACATATGATGCTGCTGAGAAGATCATCAAGATGACCAATGATGAGACTGAACGTAACAGCAATGCCACCATCCAGGAGAAGATCATGACACTAAACAAGCTGGCCAAAGAACGCAGGAGAATCCGTCTAGGAGCTGGGCGTTTTGCCTTCTCTCATGATGCAGAAGAGGAGGAAGCACTGCATCCACTGGCACATTCTCTTGTTGAAGAAATGATGTGTCTTGCCAATGAAGCTGTAGCACGCTTCCTGATGATGAAATATCCAGATTGTGCTCCACTGAGAAGGCAGTTACCTCCCAGTAGAGATGAAGTAAGTAAATGGTGGGGCAAACATGGGAAAGATATCCTAAACAGTGTTGATTTGCAGTCACGACCTGACCTTGAGGAGTTTGAAGCAGAGGAATGAGAATGATGTCCATGTTCTCAGAGAGACTTGGGACAAGATGAAAGTTGCTGTTGAAGATGAAGAGCAGAGTGACATGCTGAAGATCACAGACATCATCTGCAGCGATGAGAACCATCCTCAACTGGCTGTTGCTCGGTCCAGCTTCTTCCGTATCCAGGAGCGGTCAACTTACATCAGTTCTGGTGACCATTCAAACCAACTTGCAAAGAGGCATCACACACTGAAAATGCCATCCTACACGCATTTCACATCTCCAATCCGTCGCTTCTTTGACCTAGTCGTACACCGTATGTTGACTGCTGCGTTGGAGCACATCCAGGCCCAAAATGGGGAAGGCCCATTAGTAGCACCCTACACACCAGCTGAGTTGGGTAAAATCTGCCATCACTGCACCAATCAAGCCATCAATTGCAAGAATTTTGACACAAAGACACGCGCCTTCCTTCTTGCCCTGAAACTCAAAGAGGCCCCGCAACCAAGTCTTGCATTTGTGGATAACACAATGAACACAGGCGTGGGGTTGCTCTTTCCTTACCGTCGCTTCATTCCATCGAAGTCACACAACATTCCTCTGCGGCTCCTGAAACCCATTCAGAAGCCACTGATGGAAGAAGATGCCAGCTTGGAGTTGGTGTGGAAGCACCGCATCTATGACATCAGTGGATCCCCAAGCCCAGTTCTTATTCAGCCGCACTCTGTGTTCATGCTTGATACCAGGAAATTCATCGTTCAGATCTCTGCAAATCAGTGGCAGGAGATCTTAACAGGCATCAAGACGGAGGACATCTATCAGATCAGGAATGCAGTCTTGGTTGCAACAGATGAACAACAGCGCAGGGAACAAGATGAGGAAGCAAGACGGAAACAAAAGCACGATCCCAGTGTTCCGTACAGCTTGCCTATCCATGAGGTGACCTGTGAAGGGGTAGATGCCAGCAAGCCTTCTCTCTTCATCAACTTCAAGCGCACCTTTGATCGGGGTGATGTAATTAAAGTCCAGCTCCACGCCTGCAGCCAGATGGGTTTGCTGACACCAACAGTCCAGCTTTTTGGTCTCACTCCAAAGTTTCATCTCTGCACAGAGCACCGTAACCAACCAATAACCAGCTTTGCTGAAGTCGCAAAGTACCGCCCTGTGGGTATAAAGAATATCAGCACTTACAAGAAAGTGTGGCTGCCTATCATTGAAATGCTGACGGCTTACAATGCTGTCCAGAGCGATGAGACTGTCCTCATTCACAGTGTGAAGATCCGCTGGGATCGCCTATTTAACCAAGAGACCAACAATTACAACTACACTGGTTTCTTTGCCATGCGTGAGGAGTTCTGCGATGACCGCCACTTCAGGTTCAATCACCCTCCCAAGATCAACAAGAATGAGAAGGCAGATGGTAGCGATGATCCCGAGGCACATCTTGATTATCTTTGCATCCGCTACAGTGGCCTTAAGGTTACCCAAGAGACCCAGCTTCGTCTCCGAGATATGGGTTGCAAACCGGGCACCATGCGGCCTACAGCGAATGTCCATCCTGGCAAGATGACGTTTGTGGTGCATGCTGCTACCATTGATGTCACCAAAGACAAGGGGATGATACTTGTCCAAGTGGGTGTGACACAGTATTCCTCCCCATTTCCTGAGGTCCTGCTGTCATCGGATCCGCCGCCATGCACTGTGGAATTGGTGCCAAAAACACAACCAGACAGGTTGGTCATTTGTTTGAATTGATAGGAAAACCGCTTCAAATTGCAGAACACTTTATTTGCTGCGAAAAGTAAACTGCAGTTTCAAATCAATGGATAGAATCAGTGTATTCAGCAGTATCTGCAACTGCTCTGTGTATATTAACTTAAACAGTCAATAATGTATGTATTGATGAAATCTAAGTAGATATGTGAATTGAAGAAAAATTTAAGTGAAATGGCAAAGCCATGTAGAAGAGAAGAAGAGTCAATGTATCTGGCAGGTTCAAGTGATAATGCATGTATGTCTTTTTCCACATTGTAAAAGTTCCTCTGTGTGTTCGGTCCTTGACTGACGTGGATTTTTTTCTTTAATTTATGTCAGGCGGCTTGAGGATGCTGTGAGGAGGCTGGACAGTGACCGAGTGTCACCTCTCATCCGAGACATCTGTCTAGTGCAGAAGCCCAGAACCAACCAAGATGGTGTGTACTCAAACTGTCCACAGTTTAAAATCTGTGGTACCTCCCATTTGAGGCTTAAATTGAGTCTATATTGTGGTTATTAAAGTTGTTAATTAAGTAGCCTTATTAGTAGGTTTTGAAAGTGATTTCACAGAGAACAAAAGGCTTTAATAATAACAAAACTTTATTCATATATAAAGTGCAAATTTTATACAGATATGTTCAAATGTGCTGTACAATAAAGACATTAAATGTGATCGAGCCAAGGGCATACAAGGGCACCTCATGACCCACATCCACTAAATCTATAGGGAGGAGACAATAAGAAGCACTTACATCTACAGGGATTCCCTTCATTTGTCTGTTTCTTTTGTTTCATGTTTCGTTATTGCTCTTTATTTAAACTTCATCGTCCTCATCATTTTCCTAAAGCTAAAGGGTGGTGTTGGGCACACAGCATCTACCTCAACAATACCTCTTACTAAGTCCACTCTTAAGTATCACTCAACCACATCAGGTGACATCTCTTCCATATACCTTCCACGGAATCCCACAGAATTGTGTTAGCAAGCAAACACCTTTCGGAAATACTTTATAATGGAGTTATTGTATTAGGCAGACTGTTGGTAGTGTTCAGTTCCCAGCCCTGTCAGTCTCATAGTCTCTTCAATTTCCAATTCACACAGACACCTTCAGTAAGTTGTTGCCAGCCCTGTCGCAGAAGATCCGCTCATTTGAGATTGTAAACTCACCCTTTGACAAGCCCAATGCCTCTCAGAATACAGCACTGCGCCAGGCTGTGTCACAGCCGTTTACTGTCATCCAAGGACCACCAGGTAATGCCAGGTCCAATATATTATCTCTTCTCTTTTTTTCTTGCTCAGTATTTCTGTGATTAAGTTTGACTCTTAAACTTGCGTCCCTTACAGGTATTTTCCTGGAATCTTCCAGAGTACATCATTGGGCAGAAATCCAATAATAGATTTTGTAAGCTTTGAAGAAATGTCTCAGTTTAAAACCCAGGCTGGTAACTGGGTTCTGTGTTCCTCACTTCTTCAGAATCTTCCAAAGTTCTGATGGATTTTTAGGATTGTTGGAAGGTTTTTATAAATAACTGCAGCAAACTCTCTGTAGCTCCAAAATGCATTAAGTGGAAACTCTGTTATCTGAAAGACATGTTTCATTCCCACCGAAAGAATGGACTTTTATGGACCAAAATACCTCCATAACCTGAAATGCCCACAGTGCTATATCCACTTCCTTCAACGTTTTTGTGAGGCCAATTAAAAAGAAACTGTTACCCAAACACTTTGGGAAAGTGTACGAAGAATGAGAGACATTCATAATGAGTCATTACTGGCAAGTACACTTTGTCTTTTCACACTATGCACACTGCCAACGTGATTGACTTGACTCGTCACATATGCAAACCACCTGTAACTGCAACAAATCCTGGCTTTCAGGCAAGCCTGATGATTACTGTGGGCCCAGATGTAGCCAGCACACTGGCAGTCCAGTCGTTGACATTTGCTGTAGTCATAGGACTGCAAAAGGAAAGGTCGTTCATGCGACCGAAACCTAGCAAAACCTGATTGAAAATGCCAAGCAGCATGCACATTGTGTTGTACTAAGGATAAGATAGACCAAACGGCACAAAAGATTTGCCACATGAAAGTACACAGTTTAAATAGTTTATTGCTTAAGAAGGACATAAAGTTTTTAGGAAAATGATTATTCATGAGCCAAAACGTGCAGCATTAGAAGAAATAAAAAAGAAGGAAAATAACCACAATAAGATTTCCAACAGCCACTGCAGAGCAAGTTACCATGGTTATGGTGATGTATGCATTGTACGTGTATGTGTAGTAGTGGTCACAATTATGACTTGGCTCTAGAAAACGTAGGAACTTCTCTTAGCTTGAAATCCTGATACTTTCCTTCAGGTTTGAGTTATCAAGATCTTTTATAGTATTACATTTTAGATACTATGGACTTGATCCAATTTGCTTAATTGCTGCTGGCTACACCAAATCAGTTAGATACAAAATTGATTTTTGTTTGTCAACTGTTCTTGGTTTATTCAGGCACAGGAAAGACCATCACTGGTGCCCACCTTGCACACTTTTTCACTGTCATGAACAGGGGATTGCCACCATCAGGCAAGGGACCACCTCAGGTTCTCTACTGTGGCCCATCCAACAAGTCTGTTGATGTCATATCAAGTAAGTGCTGAATTCCCGGAGCTATTCCCTGAACTATTACCTTGACTATTATATTGTTTAGACTAATTATTCCAACCACTGGTGCTCACTTGTACCGAGAAATAGTTCCCTACAAGTCACCGAGAGTCACTCCTAAGCTAATTACAAGTTCTCCAATTTCAAGTTTAATCAGCAATCACTCAGATGTGATGTGTCACATGCCTTACCACACTGCTGATCTCAGCACTGGCTTAGGCTTTGGTGCAGAAGTGCCTAGGATTAATGGATGTGGGACCTGATATTGACAAAGGAATGAATGAAATTAATTTTTGGTGCTCAAAGTTTGAGAGTAGTTGCTGGTAGTTTGTCTCACTTGCTATCAATTTATCAGGTTGTCTTACACTGTGATAAAAATTGTCATTAAATCTGTGCACAGCTTACCTTCTGAAGCTGGGTGCCAAAGTGGTACGTGTCTATAGCGAGACAATAGAGAGGAATGACTTCCCCATCCCTGGGGAGCCAGGAACCACCCGCAAGATGGACAGCAACAGAGATGCCTCCATGGACCCCTGGCTCTCACAGATTTCCCTGCATCACCTCATCCGGCAGCCAGGCAACACTCGCCACCAGAATATCCTCAAATGGGAGAAAATGTTCCACACGCAAGGTTACGTACTCAAGGCCAGCCATACCAAGGCCTACAGGCATGACATCTCAAAAGCGGAGGTGGGTGTTGGTTCGGTGCGGTGTCCATTGAGAATGCTATTTTGGCTATTACTATTATCATTATTATTACTGTTATTTATTCGGCCAATGACAGGACCAGACAAATCACTGATAGAACAAAGGTAGACTTCCATTTAACAAAAGAGCAAAGACTACAGATTGGGGGGACAATAAATACAGCATGTATGGTTCAGGAGGGGAAGGGGTGCAAGGGGGATCCATTCTAAGACAGGCCAGGATGAGCAAAGCCTCGTGGATGCAGTGACACTTCAAGATTGATTTACATCCATCATAGACCAGTTTTCCCCAGAGCTATGCACTGAAATATGTCAAAAAATATAAGCTTTGCAGAAACAGGTTACCAGTGAACTGTCCATGCTTAATATATTACTTGAGACCGGTTCCCTACTCTTATAGTGTTATAGTCGTGTAGAATTTTGTTAAGCAGTGTGTTCTGCCAAGCAAGTGTATGAAATTGTGTCTTGGTGTTACAATGGCTTTCTGTGAACCTTTGTTTTTCACCCTGAAATCCCGTCAAGCATGCTTAAAAGACACATTTGAATTTCCTGCAGGAGGAGGAACTGAAAAAGTACCAGATCATTCTCTGCACGTGCAACGCAGCGGGCAGTAAGCGTATCAAGCAGTTCACTAACGTTGTGCAGTGCATCATTGATGAGGCCGGCATGTGCAATGAACCGGAAACACTTATACCGCTAGTCAGCACTAACCCCTGCCAGGTGGTCCTGATCGGAGATCATAAACAGCTCAGGTGAGCAGGGAGGTTGATACAAAGGGAAGGGGAGATAGGAAGAAGGATGTCTGCAGAACAGCTGTTGGCCATACCTCTAGCTATGTATGGATGCACTGGCAAGAATGCATTGGGGTTTGGTAGAGCAAGATCAAGCAAGTTGGCCAATGATGGCGTGACTGCTGTGGAAGCCATTTGGAACCAGATTTGTTGAGATTGTGTGATGGTTCTCAGTAGCTTTGTTTCGTCCTTATGTATGGAGAAAACCAGTGATATACGAATGACTACAAAAAGGTGGCAGAGAGCAAAAAGTAAAAAAGATGCACTACCAGTAGAGAGAGTAATGATGCAACCCATTCCAAAATCAAGCTGTCTCATCTGTTTTCTTAGACTGTTTGAAACGTGGTTTTTAAATGTTAAGTTTGACCAAACAAGTTTAGGCAAACTTTCAGTATTGCCTATAAAACTTGTTTGGATTAACTTAAACTTAACCATGTGTACAGCTTATTAATTGATGGTCTTATGCCCCCCAACAGGCCTATCATTCAAGAGAAGACAGCTCAGCTACTGGGTATGGAGATATCACTTCTTGAGAAGTATGAGAAGAAGGCCCAGATGTTGACCATGCAGTACAGAATGGTGAGTAGGGGATCTCTTTTGTCTTCCTCAGCATCCCCTCGAAATCCTCGTCTGCTCAGCCTGTCGTTCCACCCTTTTCATGAATCTTGCTGCATTTCCTCTCTTGCCAGCACGAGGCCATCTGCGAATTTCCCTCTCAGGCTTTCTACGAGGGCAAGTTGGAAACGGCAGACATCGTCAAGCAGAGGATACCTGACCAGCAGGTGCAGGACATCTGGCCCGGCAGTAGGGCCTACCCTGTGGTCTTCTGCCACCTGTATGGCAAGGAGGAAACGCTGACGGTCAAGACGGCCGAGGGCAACGAACAGTCTAAGTCCAACCCACAGGAGGTCAAGCAAGTGGTAAGGAGACTTCATTCTCACCACACCTCTTGCATATCCAAGAGCCAGTGAGGTAGAGAGCAAGGTAGCCAGTCAGCAAGCAAAGAAACTTAAGATGAACTCTAGTCACATGATAACCATACACTGATGTGGGAAGGTACTAAGTGAATGGCATTACTAAGTTATCGCGCAAAGCATTGTACCAGCTTACTGTTCCTTGCAGGCCAGTTATTGTGAACAGTAAATGGTATGATTTGCCATTACAAGGGGCCTGTTGATGTGCAGTGATCATGTGCCTAAATTCATCTGATGAACAAC